TTCATGGCAAGATAAATCGGTATGTGGCACACCATTTTGAAGCACCTGACGAGTACTTTATAACCCTAGAATATAAAGTCAATACCTTTACCTACTACAAAATGGTGGTACATTTAATAATTACCTGAACACAAACCCACTAACATGCATATCTCTACAAATAATTGTAGTTCCCCGCCGTATCCACAGCAACAGCGATAAAAACTTGTTTTGTTACTTTTTGTTGACAGTGGCAAGAGTATCAGTACGAAAACAAACATCATTGTACAGTTAAAATATTCTTACTTAATTTTCGGTTTTGGTGCTAGATACTGTTTGAAATATTTTTAAAATGGTCAATTCTCGTCCATTGGAAGAAAAAATCGAAGCGATTTTCATTTTTGGTGCGACGCGTAACTTTCACGAGACCAAAAGGATTTTTAATGATCGTTTCTCGAATCGTCGTATCTGTAGAAAATATTTAAGGGAACTTGTATCTAAATTTACAGCTACTGGTAGTGTAAACAGCAAAAAGCCCCCAGGTCATCCGACCATCCCGGAAGAAGAGCAAGTTCAAATAACTGGTGAGATCATAGTAAACAGTCTACTTCCTCCATTGCGAACGTATGTGAGGTTTGTCCTTCTGCTGTCTGGTGACTTTTGAAAAGAATAAGTATCACCGATACGAAATTCAAATGATACATCAGCTGACTGAAGATGACCCTGATCGAAGAACAGAATTCTGCGAGACTATGACGGAAATAATCACACGGCATCCTACCTATATCCAAAATATTTGTTTTAGTGATGAATGAACATTTTTTCTCAACGGTAATGTGCATAGACAAAATTTTCGTCACGTCTTCAGGGAAACGCACACTCAGTATCCACAAAAAAATAACGTTTGGGCTGGGATATTGGGAAATCATTCATCGAACAAACATTAACCGCGGAACTCCCATAAAATATTTAAAAATATTGAAGTCGTTTCTAAGTCAACGTAAATTCCGAACTAGAGTAAATGAACAAACATCGAATTTCCATCCTATCAAATCAGGAGTTCCCCAGGGCAGCGTTTTAGGACCAATGTTGTACACCTTGTTCACCGCATATCTTCCCATTTCCCAAAACGCAGTCACAGAAACATTTGCCGACGACACAGTAATCCTTGCCAGCAACAGCGGTTCAACGTTAGCCTCGAATTCTCTACAAGATCGTCTAGAAATGGTGGAAACATGGATGAAGAAATGTAAGAAAAAAATTAATGAAAACAAGTCACAGCAAGTAACCTTCACACTACGGAAAGGGAACTGTTCACCAGTATATATTAATAACACAGCTGTTCCCCAGTCCACTTCAGCGAAACATCTTGGGCTCCATATGGATAGTTAACTGACGTGGAAACAGCATATCATTAAAAAAAGAAAACAAATAGACTTGCGTTTGGAAGAATTATCCTGGCTGCTTGGGAGAAGATCCAAATTATCTCTGTCATATAAGCTTTTGTTATATAACACCATCATCAAGTAAATATGGGCATATGGAGCAGAACTATGGGGCTGCGCAAGTAAATCTAATATACAAATACTCCAGAGGAGTCAATCGAAAGTACTCCGTATGCTAACTGATGCCCCTTGGTGTGTGACCAATGGCACAATCCACAGAGATCTCAGTGTTCCATTGGTGAAAGATGTGATTCCAGAGAGGAGCAAGAAACACCACAGAAAACTGGAAAATCACAGTAATACATCATTACAACCTCCACTAGAACCCCCTAACCGCAGACGACTTAAGAGATATTGGCCAGCAGAGCTACTTGATGTTTGAAGAGGTCTCATCACTGGATGAGACTTCATCATGCCACAACTAGTGCTGTGAACAGTACTATGGGCAGCAGATTAGCTTATAGAATTGTTAATTTCTGATTGTTGATCAAGGATTTGATTAAAAAAAACCGCAGAACTGTATTTGGATATGCTGGAAAATACTGTTCTAATCACTCGTCGAAGCGAGTCCTAAGGAATTCGATATTGATAGTGTATTCTAGCAAGATGGTGCTCCACTACACTACTACAGACAAGTTATGAATTATCTGGAGAACAATTTCCCCGGCCGTCGAGGTCCTGTTGAATGGCCAGCTCGGTCGCCAGATTTGTCACCTTTAGACTTTTTTTATCTGGCTATTTGAAGCAAAAGGTGTACGAAACTGAACCTGCTTCAATATTGGATATACGACTGAGAATAACGAATATTTGTAGAAATATCGATGTTACTATGCATGAAAATGTTGGACGCGAAATTACGGACCGGCTCTTATTGTGTCAAGAAGTTCAAGGCAACCATTTCTAGCATCTTCTAAACTAAACTCAACGTATTTATTCGAATTATCAAGTTAAATGTCAATGTATTCTGGTAACTATTAAATGTACCACCATTTTGTAGTAGGTAAAGGTATTGACTTAATATTTTAGGGTTATAAAGTACTCGTCAGGGGCTTCAAAATGATGTGTCACTAGACCCCCGTTTTCATATAATTTTTTTCCAAGATGGCGCTCAGCGGTCATCTTGACATTTTCATCTCTCAATTTTACTCTAAAATGTGGTATCCGCGCATCAATTTTTTGAATTGATCCGTTAAAGAAATCAAAGGGGAGGGGGGCATTAAAGAAAAGCACTGTATAGTGAAACAAATGTTCAACTTTCTACAAGTACCCTTCCTCCCCTTTCTCAGAATAAAGTTTCCATTGTAAGGTTGTAAACTCTATGAGTTACGGTGTTCGGGGTCCACTTACAGATGTCTTGACATTTATTTCATTTTATAAACTGTCAAATCATTCTCTTATAAGATGCACAGTTGTGTCTTGATGTTACAATACTTCTTGGGCCACTACCTTTTCTGAAGCATTGGCTGCACTTTTAGATAATGCAAATAATTTTACATACTTGAAAGATCTTTGTCAGGCATATGTTCAAGAAATGGTTTGAGACACGATCTATTGAAAATTATTTATCTGAGTTACTCTAAAGAAATACTGAAATTAGTCCTATATTAAGAAATTTATGCAGTATAGTGTTTTGTCTATGTATCAGCTACTCTAAAAAGTTTAGCAAAGATTTATATGATAAGTACGTGATGTAAGATCCAACATGAACTGCAGCTCTCTCCCAACCATGATCTTGATAATGATCACGACGAGGAGCAACAAATTGTGAGATCCATCAGGAGATATTTTAGGGCCAACGGCGTCAGTTATCCCGGCGCCGCCATTAGTGATTCTTCCTCAGAAGATTCTTGTCCGGAAGATTCTTCAGCTGAAGAGTTGCACAGCACGTTAGCGGCTTCTCCCGAGATCCCGCATTGCACACCAGCAGAGCTTCAAGGTCATATTAAAGACGTCAAGGTGCGTAAAGCGCTTGGGGAGGATCAAATCACTAATAAGGCGCTGGAGCTGATTTCACGGAGGTCATTGACTTATCTCGTAGCTATTATCAATGCCTTGCTAAGCACCCAGTACTTTCCATCGGCGTGAAGGCTGCGGAAGTTATAATGATTCCAAAGAAGGCAGGTTCGATATTTCCCCAGGACTATCGTCCCATCAGCCTACTGTTTGATCCGTCTAAGCTCGCTGAAAAGGAGACTCTACGTCACCTTGCGAATTTCTCGTCAGATCACCATGTGATTCCTGATGTGCAATTTGGATTTTGGTCTGAGCATAGTACGGAGTTACAGGCGGTTAGGCTTGTGGAGCGAGTCACCAGGGCTTCACCTTTAACGAATGTACTGGCTTATTGGCTTCTGGATGTCTCGAAGGCATTTGACAAGGTGTGGCACAAGGGCCTTCTCTATAAACTAACTCAAAAGGGCTTTCCATTTTGGCTCCTAAAACTTTTGAAATCCTTCCTTGAATGTAGGAAATTTCGGATCAAAATTAATCAGGGTTCCGCTCTAGGGCCAATCCTTTACTTTTCGGAATCGCACAGCAACCCTCTGTTGCGTGAGTCAGTAGACTACATAGTCGAGCAAGTTCGCAAGCAGACAAGACCGCGGCTCCCACTGTAATCAAAATCCAATTGTGCAATTCTATATCCAACCATAACTACTATTTGTGCCACACACAGATTCCTAAATTAATTTGTGGATTAATTTAAATTAACCGAATACCAGTTTACAATAGCAAAGCATCCCTTCAACCGGCGCACCCTCTTTGCTCTTCCCCCTTCCTCCCTTTCTTTCTTCTTCCTTTGGATCTCCATGACTTCGTCTGGTATCTCGGCAACCAGAACTAAAACACCTACTGACCTACCATACTTTAACAAAGAGCCAAGGTCCCACGGACCGCTCTGACGGACAATGACGAATAGAAGAATAGAAGAAAACTGCAGCTGACGTATGTCAACAGCTGTCAGAGCTATATTTAAATTATATGGGCCAAATGTGGACTAGTTACAAGACACAGTTGCTCCGCACGGGTATCACGTATATTGAAAAGTGACATTTAGTCTATTTTTTTACACCATGCTGTTTTTTTTGATATTATGTAGGTCATTCTACAAGATGTTAACAGTTTTTCGTAATTTATAACTTTGAACACAACCTCCCTTCAGAAAGCACAACATATAAATAACCCGTTATATTCGGCATATTCAGTAATTATTTTCTCACACAGCAAGTATCACTGATTTTATACACATGCAGATCAATACACATAATAATCCAGATGCGATCTTGCTATTCAACCAACTTTCTTCTCAGAGATAAGAACTATAGACCCGGATCACTCAGCACTCAGCCTCACAAAACTATGCAACCAATAATGCGTAGTCATTCCTCCATAGATGGACGTTCACAACGATCCTAGTGAGCAAACGTGGAATGACTGTTTGCGCTCTAAAAACTTCATAGTCTGCAAGTTGACATCTTATAGGTTTTTTTGACGTTTTATAGGTTTTTTACATGATACCAGTGTCGATCTTATGAGCTCTTGCCGATGGTTCATATAAGGAGACTTTTATCTTGTCAGCAGGTGCACCGAGTGGACGTTGGTCAATACTGATGATGTAGAAACTCAGCAGGAAGAGATCATCAGCGTCAATCGAGGAAAAACGAACGGAGAAGTTATACACATGGAAAAACAAAGAGCGGAAGCGTGACTGCAGCGTTAATACAGAAGAAATACAGAAAGCCAAAGATGCAGACACTCTGAAATGGTGTAGAAGTGTTCAATTTAAGACATTTGAATAAAATATTAAGTTGTAAATGTACGAAGTACCTTTGTGGATATGAGAAGCTTAGGATTACTCAGATTTTATGATAATGACTGTATGTCGGTGTTTCATGTTACTTAGCTGATCAATAAACAGTGAATTACTCCAAGAGCAGGGTGTGAAAGGACTTTAATTACATATTTGAGAATTGCAGAGATGATACAATTAGAGAAATATTTAAAAAAGGTTTTTATGAACCTGGGTGCGGAAATGCACCGTTTTCAAGATACAGGGTGATACATTTATTTTTTCTACTTTTTCATAAATATCATAAGAAATATTTATTCGATCCTATCGAAATATGGTAATATTATTTGTTGTATTGAGAGGCTGATTTAGCCTGAATAGATTGATATTATCAGGTCCAGTGGCCTCCCGGTGGCCACCTTAGCGTACATTATTGGCCAAAAAAATGTACATCGCTGCCTTTTTTGTAACTTTAATATTATTTGTTGTTTGATTAAGCATCTAAAAATACAATTTCTTTGCATCTTGTATTTTCTTAGTAATTCACTTCGTTTTAGAGAATTGCATGTCATTGAACAAAATGATTAATTTTTGCTACAAAAATCACAAAATCCCTTGGAAGTCACAAGTTAAAAAAAATTCAAGGAAAAAGTATTATTGCAATTTTAATATTATTGTCGAATTTTAACAGAATCGAGTAAATATTTTTGAAGGTATAGAGAAAATAAAATCACTTTATCTACCTGTATCGTGAAAACTCTCCATTTTTGGACCCATGTGTATAGACATTCTTTTTACATTTTTTTTTTAAAGAAATCACGCTCCAAAATATCTCCGTCTATTTTTTAAGTACCCTGTATAATGGACTGAATGATGTACTGTAATGTCATCCATATCTCCATTCGTAAAACTATGCATTTCAAAATTTGAAAATTCCGGTGGCAAGCCCAAATAGGTAAACCTGTAAACGTAGAAACATGAGAAAATCTCCCATAAAATATTCTTTGCTGCAATGGAGAAGAGTGTGAGTGAAGAAGAGAATGCATTGAATACTTTTCTGGTGCTCTAACGGGAAATACATGTCCTCAAATGAGAGGGCATAAACCTTACGAAAATCAGTCCCTGGTGAATCCTGCTTAAACGTTGGGAATAAGCTCTCCAGAGTATCCCAATCAAAAGGTCTCATGGGCTTTTACAATCCTAAGAAGCATTTCTATGATATACAGGGTGTGCCAAGCAGGCAAGGACGGGGATTTGCTCCTAAATGAACGTTTCATCAAAGAAAACTGTTCACTCCATATTTATTTTCTACGAGTATTCTACATGGTGTTTGAGGGCCACATTTGAAACAGTCAAAATTGTACAGGGAGTCCCAATTGTGTCCCACATCAAAAATATTTGATCTAAATGGAAGGCCAAACTTTTTATTACACACTGGGATAGGCCATTTTAAAAGAAGAAGATTGATATACATTTTTATTGGTTTTGATTACTAGTTATTGGGCTATTGATATATTTTCGTTTTCTATCACTTTACTTTTCTACAAGATTTTCTTGTAGACGCGTCTATAGTTCTTTGTTTACCCTGTATATGTTTTCACTTTCCAGTTTTGATCATCAATATGATCAATAAATTCTCCTATGTTTTGCCCTCTTTGAAAATTGACATTTGATTATTTCCAAGCTGTTCAAAATGAGGACATAAAGTATTATAAAACCCTGAAGACTTTCAAAGTGCAACCTCAGAAATATTCTACAATTCCCGTGAGCTTATCAGATCCGTATAAAATAAATGAGGCATTCATTTCAATTTTCGAGAATAGTGATTTAGGTTGTGCTGATAAAATTGCATATTACCGAGATAATAAAAATAACTCAAAATCCAAATTTCAATTTAATGAAGTGACTATTGACACCATTATTAAAATTATACATAAAATAAAATCAAATTCTAGTGGTTCAGATGGAATAACTTAGCATATGATACTACCATGTATACCTGAAATTGATGTGTACTTGACACATATTATCAACTGCTGTTTAGAGAGGGGATATTTCCCCAATCAGTGGAAACGCACTATAGTTACTTCGCTACCTAAGGCCCGTTCGTCAGTCGTCCCTACAATTGTAGGGCGCCTTTATGGCCTCCTTGATTGTCATAGTTTTCTACTTCTCCGTTTCAGAACTCTATTTTGAGGTTATGTCACAAACATCTATTTGCATCAAATTGTGCTTGCTTTTGAGTTATATCATGTCTTATCAGCCTGAAGTTTCCTACAATTTAAAAAGAGAACATATCGTCACAATAGGAGAGCGCTGGCGCTGACACGGGACAAGTGTAATCTAGAAATTTTTGAAGGAGAGAAAGGAGTATGACAATCAAGCGCCCTACAATTTTAGGGACGACTGACGATACGGGCCTAAGTGTTTTGACCCTACTAACTATGGTCAACTGAGACCGATTAGTCTGCTGCCAATTTTTTCTAAAGTATTGGAACGCGTTGCTTACAAGCTCTGCGCCTACTTATATTCTAACAAAATTACTCCATCTAAACAATCTGGATTTCGACAAGGTCATAATAAAGCATCGGCACTCTGTAATTTAACAGACAATATAACAATGGCACTTGATAATCAAAAAGCAGTAGCTCTCATACTTCTTGACTTTACTAAAGCATTTGACACCATTAATCTTTCACTTCTTGTGTCTAAATACAGTTATTATGGATTTTCTGAAAAACCTCCTTCGTTTATTCAAAACTACCTTGAAAATCGGTATTAAAAAGTTCGTCTAAATGAACAGTACTCTACCGAACATAAAATTTGTCCTGGTGTACCACAGGGATCAGTCTTAGGACCCCTATTATTTTCATTATATATCTCAGATTTCGAAACAGAGGTAAAATCATGCAGCATACAATTTTTTGCAGACGGTACTCAAATTTTCTATTCATTTAGGAGTAATGACTTGGAAACAGCAAATAATAAAATTAGTCAAGATCTTGCACAAATTGAAAAGTTCAGTAGTAGTCATAATCTTCGTTTGAACCCTTTGAAGACAAATATGTGTGGATCATTCGAAGAACCTAGGTATTACAATGGATGAGGATGTGAATCTTTCTTATTTTCAAAGATATCGTATTGCTTAGTGGTTTACTATCCCTATTTAGATATTATAACAGGAAATCGTATTCAAAGTATTATGAATACATGTTGCAGACTTGTAAATTGTCTCAGAAAGTATGATCATATATCGAATGCCATTAATGAACTCAAATTGATGAAAATTGATAAAATGTATAAGTACCAGCTCCTAAATGTGACTCATGAGGTTCTTTATTCAAAAACACCGTCATATTTAATAAACAAATGCATACGTAGAGGGAATATGCATGCTTTTAGTATTGGATATAGAGAGACCTTTTCAATTCCACGCCACAGCACATGTTTATTTCAGAATACATATACTTACAATGCGATAAAATCATATAGTTCTTTAGACCACAGTTTAAAAGAAACCAGTTCATTACCAAAGTTCAAGAAAAAAGTGAAAGAAGTTCTACTTGATCAGCAGCGAAATCTTGGAGAAGACTTTCAAAGTGCAACCTCAGAAATATTCTACAATTCCCGTGAGCTTATCAGATCCGTATAAAATAAATGAGGCATTCATTTCAATTTTCGAGAATAGTGATTTGGGTTGTGCTGATAAAATTGCATATTACCGAGATAATAAAAATAACTCAAAATCCAAATTTCAATTTAATGAAGTGACTATTGACACGATTATTAAAATTATACATAAAATAAAATCAAATTCTAGTGGTTCAGATGGAATAACTTAGCATATGATACTACTATGTATACCTGAAATTGATGTGTACTTGACACATATTATCAACTGCTGTTTAGAGAGGGGATATTTCCCCAATCAGTGGAAACGCACTATAGTTGCTTCGCTACCTAAGGCCCGTTCGTCAGTCGTCCCTACAATTGTAGGGCGCCTTTATGGCCTCCTTGATTGTCATAGTTTTCTACTTCTCCGTGTCAGAACTCTATTTTGAGGTTATGTCACAAACATCTATTTGCATCAAATTGTGCTTGCTTTTGAGTTATATCATGTCTTATCAGCCTGAAGTTTCCTACAATTTAAAAAGAAAACATATCGTCACAATAGGAGAGCGCTGACGCTGACACGGGACAAGTGTAATCTAGAAATTTTTGAAGGAGAGAAAGGAGTATGACAATCAAGCGCCCTACAATTTTAGGGACGACTGACGATACGGGCCTAAGTGTTTTGACCCTACTAACTATGGTCAACTGAGACCGATTAGTCTGCTGCCAATTTTTTCTAAAGTATTGGAACGCGTTGCTTACAAGCTCTGCGCCTACTTATATTCTAACAAAATTACTCCATCTAAACAATCTGGATTTCGACAAGGTCATAATAAAGCATCGGCACTCTGTAATTTAACAGACAATATAACAATGGCACTTGATAATCAAAAAGCAGTAGCTCTCATACTTCTTGACTTTACTAAAGCATTTGACACCATTAATCTTTCACTTCTTGTGTCTAAATACAGTTATTATGGATTTTCTGAAAAACCTCCTTCGTTTATTCAAAACTACCTTGAAAATCGGTATTAAAAAGTTCGTCTAAATGAACAGTACTCTACCGAACATAAACTTTGTCCTGGTGTACCACAGGGATCAGTCTTAGGACCCCTATTATTTTCATTATATATCTCAGATTTAGAAACAGAGGTAAAATCATGCAGCATACAATTTTTTGCAGACGGTACTCAAATTTTCTATTCATTTAGGAGTAATGACTTGGAAACAGCAAATAATAAAATTAGTCAAGATCTTGCACAAATTGAAAAGTTCAGTAGTAGTCATAATATTCGTTTGAACCCTTTGAAGACAAATATGTGTGGATCATTCGAAGAACCTAGGTATTACAATGGATGAGGATGTGAATATTTCTTATTTTCAAAGATATCGTATTGCTTAGTGGTTTACTATCCCTATTTAGATATTATAACAGGAAATCGTATTCAAAGTATTATGAATACATGTTGCAGACTTGTAAATTGTCTCAGAAAGTATGATCATATATCGAATGCCATTAATGAACTCAAATTGATGAAAATTGATAAAATGTATAAGTACCAGCTCCTAAATGTGACTCATAAGGTTCTTTATTCAAAAACACCGTCATATTTAATAAACAAATGCATACGTAGAGGGAATATGCATGCTTTTAGTATTGGATATAGAGAGACCTTTTCAATTCCACGCCACAGCACATGTTTATTTCAGAATACATATACTTACAATGCGATAAAATCATATAGTTCTTTAGACCACAGTTTAAAAGAAACCAGTTCATTACCAAAGTTCAAGAAAAAAGTGAAAGAAGTTCTACTTGATCAGCAGCGAAATCTTGGAGAAGACTTTCAAAGTGCAACCTCAGGAATATTCTACAATTCCCGTGAGCTTATCAGATCCGTATAAAATAAATGAGGCATTCATTTCAATTTTCGAGAATAGTGATTTGGGTTGTGCTGATAAAATTGCATATTACCGAGATAATAAAAATAACTCAAAATCCAAATTTCAATTTAATGAAGTGACTATTGACACAATTATTAAAATTATACATAAAATAAAATCAAATTCTAGTGATTCAGATGGAATAACTTAGCATATGATACTACTATGTATACCTGAAATTGATGTGTACTTGACACATATTATCAACTGCTGTTTAGAGAGGGGATATTTCCCCAATCAGTGGAAACGCACTATAGTTGCTTCGCTACCTAAGGCCCGTTCGTCAGTCGTCCCTACAATTGTAGGGCGCCTTTATGGCCTCCTTGATTGTCATAGTTTTCTACTTCTCCGTGTCAGAACTCTATTTTGAGGTTATGTCACAAACATCTATTTGCATCAAATTGTGCTTGCTTTTGAGTTATATCATGTCTTATCAGCCTGAAGTTTCCTACAATTTAAAAAGAAAACATATCGTCACAATAGGAGAGCGCTGACGCTGACACGGGACAAGTGTAATCTAGAAATTTTTGAAGGAGAGAAAGGAGTATGACAATCAAGCGCCCTACAATTTTAGGGACGACTGACGATACGGGCCTAAGTGTTTTGACCCTACTAACTATGATCAACTGAGACCGATTAGTCTGCTGCCAATTTTTTCTAAAGTATTGGAACGCGTTGCTTACAAGCTCTGCGCCTACTTATATTCTAACAAAATTACTCCATCTAAACAATCTGGATTTCGACAAGGTCATAATAAAGCATCGGCACTCTGTAATTTAACAGACAATATAACAATGGCACTTGATAATCAAAAAGCAGTAGCTCTCATACTTCTTGACTTTACTAAAGCATTTGACACCATTAATCTTTCACTTCTTGTGTCTAAATACAGTTATTATGGATTTTCTGAAAAACCTCCTTCGTTTATTCAAAACTACCTTGAAAATCGGTATTAAAAAGTTCGTCTAAATGAACAGTACTCTACCGAACATAAAATTTGTCCTGGTGTACCACAGGGATCAGTCTTAGGACCCCTATTATTTTCATTATATATCTCAGATTTAGAAACAGAGGTAAAATCATGCAGCATACAATTTTTTGCAGACGGTACTCAAATTTTCTATTCATTTAGGAGTAATGACTTGGAAACAGCAAATAATAAAATTAGTCAAGATCTTGCACAAATTGAAAAGTTCAGTAGTAGTCATAATCTTCGTTTGAACCCTTTGAAGACAAATATGTGTGGATCATTCGAAGAACCTAGGTATTACAATGGATGAGGATGTGAATCTTTCTTATTTTCAAAGATATCGTATTGCTTAGTGGTTTACTATCCCTATTTAGATATTATAACAGGAAATCGTATTCAAAGTATTATGAATACATGTTGCAGACTTGTAAATTGTCTCAGAAAGTATGATCATATATCGAATGCCATTAATGAACTCAAATGGATGAAAATTGATAAAATGTATAAGTACCAGCTCCTAAATGTGACTCATAAGGTTCTTTATTCAAAAACACCCTTATATTTAATAAACAAATTCATAAGTAGAGGGAATATGCATGCTATTGGTATTAGATATAGAGAGACCTTTTCAATTCCACGCCACAGCACATCTTTATTTCAGAATACATATACTTACAACGCGATCAAATCATTCTTTAGACCGCAGTTTAAAAGAAACCAGTTCATTACCCAAATTCAAGAAAAAAGTTCTACTTGATCAGCAGCGAAATCTGTTGTAACCCATGAGTGGCCTCATATTTTCCTTATGCCTTTACTTAGATTATACTTTATTCTGTCGTTATTGTATACAGGTATTAATTTTCAACAAATTCTGTTTTTTTTACATCTCGTATTGTTAAGGGGGTTAGATGGTAGAATAGATATATTATCTAAATCCCGCCTCCTGTAAGAATATTACAAATAAAAGACGTTAATTATTATTAGCATTGTTATTATTTAACGACATACTGAAGTGCAGATATATAATATAACTTTCGTGAGCTGAGAAAGATTCTCCGTGATGTTTATAACGGATAACCTATCGATGTAGCGACTTATGGTCGGTTGGCTTTGGCATTGAAAGGTACCATGTACCAGCATGATATCGAAAATATCCAATTCTTTTTTTATTTTTTTTTATGGTCATGGTCGGATGGACTTATTCTTGAAAAAAAGTGACTTGACCTTGACGTGACCTTGAAGGTCATGATCAAGATTTATTACCAGCAACTGGGAATGTGGAATGTCCCATTGTTTTCACTTCCGTAATCAACAATGGAGTATCTCATCGAAAAGAGGTGAGTGGACCTGAAGGTTATGATCTGCAAAATCCTTACTACTTGTGTTTTCCTATCATCAATATATTGAGCTATATGCCTACACTATGCAAACTGCTTGTAAAACTTTGGTGTTTTTTTTAGATAAAATGCCCAATAGCCCAATAACTTATAATCAAAACCCACAAGTCAATAATTAATCAATCTTCTTCTTTTAAAATGGCCTACCTAAGCGTGTAAAAGAGGTGGGTCTTCCATTTAAAACAAATGTTTTTGATGTCGGGCAATATTTGGACACTCTGTATAATTGTGAGTATTTCAGAAGTAGGTCCTCAATTTCCATGTATGATAACCCATAAATAGTTGTATTCGATAAGTCTCTATATAGGAGCAATACTCCGTTCTCGCATATTTGGGACACCCTGTATATTATGGAAACGCTTCATAGGATCATTGACAGCTCGTAAAAACTTTTGATCTGGACGCGCTAGAATGCTTATTCCCAACGTGTGAGCAAAATTCACCGGGGACTTTCATAAGATTTGTGCCCCTACTTTGTATAAAATGGTGAGTGTGTCTACATATGAGCATACCTCACTTCCAAATATGGTGGAGGCGCCCAGAATTCATTATATCATAAGGGTCACCCTTGGGGTGACTTGGGGAGTTGATTTGAATCACTGGTCAAAGCCAATACCGCCATTGAGTGTTCATAGACGACAGGTTAGAGGTATGTGTAGCCTTTTTATAACGAAGGCTGAAGAGGTGACACGTATTTTTGTCAAAGTAATATATTTTCATTTGAAATATTTTGGAATTAGGACTGGTGTTATTTAGTAACGTACTGGAATATGTAAGTTGTAGTTCGTTGATTGATGATTTTAATTAGATGTATGCTTATGTTTGTTATGAAATTGCTAAACAATAGTTCTCTAAAAATTCTTTCCTACCACGGTACGTACCATGGGGTTCAAGCCGGCATATGTTGCGGTTTTTGCAGCTTTAGGATTATAATGCTAGAATTTGTATAGTAGGGCAATTCTTTGGAAAGGTGTCAGCGAAACTAAAGTCGGACAGAACAGAAAATAACAAATACAAGAAGCATGGAAATTGAACAATGCTTGTAAAAAATGTGTATTTAATAATAATGGTAATAATAATTTATTTATATTAAGTTAACCAAAAGTCTAAGTTCACAGTGAGAGCTCTTCCACTCAACCTTAAAGAGATACAAATAACGTGTTACAAATAAAAATAGGAAGTGTGAGTTGAATGTTTCAACTAAAAGATTAAAATTGGATAAATCGTAATTTCATTCTAGCTGTTCTTTAACAACATTTACAAGGATTTAATTGTCTTCTCAAGTGAAAGTTCTTTCAGCCCCACGAACTCCTGGACCATGTTGCTATATTCCTTAGCTATTTGGTAGCTGAAGCTCTTTTCATGTACAGTAATGGACATAAGTATACTAAGTGACATGTAAATCCGAACACCCAGTTTAAATGGTTTTATTTTAATAAAAGTTGGTGAATGTATTTATCTTACTGTAAATAACAAGTGAAAAAATTTTCAGCCTTATCAGTTGGACATTCCAGTTTTTATACTGCTTTTTTTTAATTCACTAACGCTCTAAAAATGAATATTTCAGCCGCAGTAAAGAATCAACGTTGGCGGATTTTGGTTCTTGACATCCTTTACGATCGGTTACGATGCCTAGAGTACGGAGACCTGCACGATTTCGTCAACTTAGTGAGTTTGATAGGGGCCGTATAGTGGGACTTCGGGAAGCTGGACTTTCTTTTCGGGCAATTGCAGTTAGAGTGCAAAGAACTGTAGACACTGTGGTTAGGTGTGTTAGGTGTTGTCATTACGTTGATTGGTTGGTTGGTGGTTGCCTGGAATGAGATACCACAGGAGGACATTGACCACCTGATCAGAAGCATGTCTAGGCGCGTTGGAGAATACGTAGCACATCAGGGTGCATTCACAGATTATTTAAGGTCAAAGGGCTTTAAAGCAGTGCAATCATTTTGAAATTTTTATCATTTACTTATTATGCTTCATTAAGTACTTATACAAAATTTTATTAAAATAAAACCATTTAAACTGGGTGTTTGCATTTATATGTCACTTAGTATATATAGACAAATATGAATATTTAACTAAATACCTTTAGAAAACGAATTCTTACTTCATTGCTCCATAAACAAATACGTTATTAGTAGAAAAACTAAATTCCTTGTTTTTACATTATATGCAATGAACACAATACAAGTCTGAATATATATTTATGAGGGACAAAAATATGTAGACAAATTCTTTTCAACATTAGTTTAGTACATTTTCGTGTCAGGAGAGGATTGGTTTGTGTCCATCAAGTATTGTGGAATGAGGTGAGTGATTTTAAGACCATGTCGGGTGGTCCAGAAATTTCTTTCGATGTGAAAACTGAGATCATTTAGTTATGCAAAGATGGTCAACGTCAAGTCGACATTGCCAAAGCTTTGAAGCTGAAGCGTAAATGCCGTTTGGGCAATGCTGAACAAATATAAACATTTGTTTAAATAGCTTTCCAGACGTTTCCGCGTAGATAGTGTAATTGTTTCTTGATTGAAACTATTTAATAAACTTTACTCGTATGTCTCCACTCATATTATTCTGAGGTATAAGATCTTCTGCAACTTGTTTTTAATTTTTTTCTCACTACTTTTATAATTTATTATTTCAACTCCTGGATTTAACATTTTCGGCTCAGTAACATGGTATTTTTCATTGAATTTATTTTGTTCATCTTTCAGTTCATTATGATTTGATTCATCAACTTTCATATCCATTCCGACATTTTTTGGGTTTCTCACACTTTCTATGTAAATGTTCAGAGATGAAAGATTTATTTTCATACTCGACTCTCTTCTCGTGTCATCGCAATATTGCTTTTCTTTAGGAACAGCGATTGCCTTATATATAGGTATTGTTTGTTTTAGAATTTGTGCGTATGACTTTACTTTTACTAACTGGTTTTTCTCAACTTCGTCGAGTCTCATGCTAATTCTATCTAATGCTGATGCTATGGCATCCTTCTCAGTAATACTTGCGGTTTCTGATAGCTGTTGTTGTTTTAGTTTTAAATTTTCATTATTGAGCTGACGAATTATTTCCTCCTTTCCGCTAGTGCTTTCTTCAGGGATCAATTCTCTTCTAACATCTTTTTTACGTTAGTCGAAACAGGTCGATTTTTTTTCATCTGAGATGCAGTTCTTTTCATTCTTGGGATTTTCTTGTTGCTCTTCTTCTTCCCTCTTCTTTTTGCGGGTCATGACACTCTGTATAGTTATTTCTTGTGTAGTATGAATCAGGAAGAACAAACTGTCAACTTTTCAATTTTACGTCACTCCGAGGTTATATAAATATGGCCGAAAACGACTGGAAATTGTAAAAGCCGCTGCACCGATATATCCAGACCCGTATTTTATCCTTATAAATGGAACCTCTTCGCTAAAAGGTTATTTCGTGGACTGTGTACCAACCAAATTCTTGACAAGGTAGGACGATATCGTTTGCTTGTTTATTACTTTGCTATCTATAATCTACAATGGTTTCAGTGATGAGGGGATACAAAGTGTACCGCTAGTCCAAGGGTGAGCATCTCTAGAGTATTTCTTCAAAAATAACAAGTAAGGTTATGTTTTGGAAGGGTGTCCAATAACTACGATGATTTTTTCAAGTTTTTCAGTTGTTGGACATTTGTCCAATAATTGAAATTTGCATGAAATTTTCAGTTTGACTGCACTACTTTCCCAGAATGTTCTTCTGAATTCAAATAATCAACTGAAAGTGATTTATATGATTGTACATCCAGTAATTTGACGTCTGTCCAACAACTAACTTAGTACGTGTCCGATAACGAACCTTGTGGTTTCCAGGTCATCCAAAGGTTACCAAACATGCCAAAAAAGCATTCATATGATGCAAATTTGATGGAATTAGCAATTCAGGAAGTTAGAAATAGTAACATGTCTTACAGAGCTGCAGCTAATAAATATGGGATTCCAAAATCCACATTACAATTCAAAATAAAAAATGCAGGTCATAACAATACATGCGGCTCATCTCCAGTACTTCAGACAAAAGAAGAATATGAACTTGTTGAGCGGATAAAAGAGCTTGCGTCCCGTAGATTTCCGAGAAAAAAGGATGACATAATGCATAGCGTCCAAAAATGTTTAATTGAAAATCCACGCCGTAATCCATTCAACAACAATAGACCAGGAGAGTTTTGGTTCAAAGCATTTCTAAAAAGATAGCCATCTATTAGACAACGAACAAGCGAACCAGTCAGTGCGGCAAGTGCTTGTGTAGTAGTAGTAGTCCATTATTTAGAAAAAAAAGTCCTAATTTCAACAACAACAACAACTGGTAGCATTACAGCATTTCACAAGTACATACATATTTATTCAAATATAATAAATTTAACAAATTCTGTCAGATCTTATGTGTTTGATAAGTGCTTTCTTGAAATATCCGACTGAGTCGGCGTTTTTTATTTGCTGGGGCAACTTATTGGATTCACATAGACCTTTGTACATTATTGTTTTCATTGTACTCTTCATATTTGTTTTATTTACTTGGAAATGAGTACACGTCCTAGTGTTATATGAATGTATCTCATTATTTGGGCTTAGATGCGCACCTAAATAATTAGGTAATGTTCCTTTCACAATTTTATAAATAAATAGCATTGCTGTTAAATAAAGATGTTAATTCACTGATAACCACTGTAGAGTATCCAGCATATATTCAATTCTTGTGTACCTAGAGTACCTATTTTGAAGTTATTGTAAGGTGCCTATTTTGTTCTTGCTAAAGAAATATAATAAAGATGAACAGTACTGAAAATGAGGTTTTATTATTGTATTGTAAACCGTAATTCTTGCAAACATTGATAGCTGTTTAGAAACTCTTGGAAAAAAAATTTCATTGAAATTTTCTTAATAATATAGTCACTATGGGTGTTAAAGTTTAGGTTTTTATCCAACATAAATCCAAGGTATTTCATTGTATCAACTATATCAATAACTGTCTTTTCAATTTTAATTTGGATATTAGCTTTTATAATATTCTTGTTTTTACTTCTGCTTGATATTACCATTGCTTTTGATTTTTGAGTGTTCAACTTCAATTTGTTCATTTTTAAATATGTATCAATGTTTGCAAGGTCACTGTTCACAATATCGATAGCCTCATTCAGGTTTTTGCAGGCTGAGTACACAAGTGTGTCATCGGCAAATAGATTTATGGAGCTTCTTCTCTGAACAAGTTCCATATCATTCAAATATATTATAAAAAATAATGGCCCCAAAACACTACCCTGAGGAACTCCAAAACGTACAGAAATGGTTTCGGAGATAGAAGTCCTTTGACCTCTATCACTCAAGTAACTAATCATCCATCTCAGGACACTGCCTCCAATTCCACATTGTTTTAGTTTATCTATCAATATTCGTCTATCTATTGTTTCAAGTGCTCTTTTGAAATCAAGGAAGACTGCAATTACATAGTTATTGTCATCAGTAGGTTTCATCCAATCAGTTACTGTAACTTGAAGAGCAGTTTCACAAGAGTGACCTTTTCTGAGGCTCGATTGCTTAGCCATAAGAAGATTATTGGTTCCAAAATATTCAACAATTTGTTTATGGACACATGTTTCCAAAAGTTTTTCAAGAGGTAGCAAAGTATTTATAGGTCTAAAATCAGATGCTTCTATGGAACTAGGTACTTTAGGGATGGGCGTAACTGTGCTTACTTTTAATGCATCCGGAAAAACTCCATAAGCTAGAGAAGTGTTGATAAAATTCAAGATTACATGACCAATCGAGTGCAAAGTATTTTTAAGAAGTTTAGTATTCAAAATATCTTCACCGTATGTTTTATTTTCAAATGAAATTATAATTTCTTTCAATTCATTGAATGATATGGATCTAAATTTCCGGAACGTAGCTGCATCACAAGATAGATCATTATTCACATATACAGGGTGTTCCATAATTATTGCGACAAAATGATAGGGGTTGTAGAGGGCATAAAAATATGCAATTTTGCCTTATAAACCCCTGTTCGTAAATATGCCGTTTGAGCACTACAGTTAATTTTACCTTAAGAGCTCATAGGAGAAACAAAAAATTCACCAGCTGCAAAATGTTCGTCTAGCACATTTCATGGTCTCACCGGTTTGTAAAAAAAGCCTGCTGTGCTTACATTTTTGTTATCGTACACCCGTACCACCTTTTAAAAGTCCAAGCCATGGGTCCAGCAGACTATCTGCCGCGTCGACGTTTTTGCCGTTGGTGGCTGCAGCAGGAGTTGAGGCAACCAAACTTTGGTCGCTACGTTTTGTTCACTGACGAGTCCTGTTTTACAAAGGACGGTTATTTTAATAGCCATAACAGTCACATTTGGGATGAAGAAAACCCTCATGCCATAGCCATCCATAGAGACCAACATCAGTTTTCAATTAACATCTGGTGCGGCATTGTGGACGAGCATATCATCGGGCCATATCTGCTTCCACCACGTTTGGATGGGCATGCTTATGGTCGATCCTTACAGCATGTACTACCGGAACTATTACAAAATGTGCCACTGAATATAAGAGCCAACATGTGGTTTCAACACCATGGCGGTCCAGCCCACTTTTCTTTACAAGTGCGGCAGTATTTGGACGACAAATTTCCAAATAGGTGGATAGGCCGAGGTGGCCCTGTGCCTTGGCCTGCGCGGTCACTTGACCTGACCCCACTGGATTATTTTATCTGGAGCTATCTGAAAGCTTTAGTGTACGAAACTCCTGTTCCCAACCAACAAGAGCTACTGGGAAGAGTGACGGCCGCGTCCGCACATGTTCAGGACATACCGGGGGTATGCCACAGAGTTCGCCGATCATTGAACAATCGTGCACAGCTGTGTATTGAGCAAGGTGGAGGACAATTTGAGCAATTACTGTAGGTAAGCTGTTTCAAGAAACTGATCTTTTTTTTTTGCTACAGCCCAAACGGCATATTTCCGAACAGGGGTTTATAAGGAAAAATTGTTCATTTTGATGCCCTCTACAACCCCTATCATTTTGTCGCAATAATTATGGAACACCCTGTATATTATCAGACTGGATACTTTTTACAATGTCACAAACACTGCTAACAAGGTGAAGGTTGAAATTATCAGCTATTTCCACTTTACATCTGGAAATAACTTTTTCGTCATTCAGATAAAAAATTATTCTATCGAAAGTAGTAGCTCCTACCGGCTTTATTAAAGATTTCAATGTTTTCCACATAGTTTTGGGGTTACGTTTATTCTGACCAATTTTTTCTTCAAAATATTGTCTTTTTTCATTTTCAACAAGTTAACATATTTATTTCTGAACATCTTGTATTTCTCCCACTGATGAGGTTTGTCAATTGGGTGGCCACTTTTCCTAATTTGTTTGTAGGCAAGATCTCGCTCCTCAGCTTTATTTTTGAGTTCAATATCGTAGTAGGGAACCTGGTCACCTCTCACTGACAAAAAGAGCTTAGATGAATTTGCATTGAATGCCTGAGTTATATTCGCCTGTAAATTCTCATAACTTTCGTTGACATTAATACTATTCGCTGACCAGTCACAAAACAACAAGCCTATGTTTATTTTTAGTAATTCCTCGTCTTTTAAATTCCTTATTTCAACCATTTTGACTGTTTTGCTGGCAATATTTCAAAAGACACTAACAGATACAATAGAATGATCCGACAACTTTGGTTGATCATACACCTTAACCTCAATGTTCCCATGATTAGAAACAACATAATCTATCAAAGCCATGCTCATATCAGTTACCCTTGTATAGTCAGTGACCAACTGATCAACCCCAAAAACATCAAATAAACGTTGAATTTTGTTGGTATAGAAATTCTTATCATCTTTAAAATCTATATTTTCATCCCCTACTAAAATGCATTTACTCACAGAGAAGTAATTATCTAAAACGTCTTCCAACTTATCGATAAAATCAGCATTACTTGCACTAGGAGAGTGATAAACACCACCAATTGTCCACTTTTGACCTCTCACTATCACATCAATAAAACAAAACCAATAATTCGGATGACTAATGATTTTCCTTTTGACTTTTGTGGCAGAAAAGGACATATGGAACTGGTTCACCGATATAAAGAAGTACCCGGATCCAAAGAATATTGGCATGGAAGATCCAGAGTCTACAATTGCGACGAAACGGGCTTTCAAGTTTGCCCGAATACGGGTAAAGTTTATGCTGCAAAAGGTGCGAAAAATATATACACTGTCAAAAAGAGATCTCCTAAAGAGAATATTACTGTTATGTTTTCATTTTCGGCTTCTGGAACCACTTGTCCGCCGATGATAATTTACCACTATAAGAGAATTCTAGAAAAAATAAGTTTAACAGTGGATCCGGACTGGGGAGTTGGAAGATCTGATAATGGTTGGATGACTGCAGATACAATTTATGAATACATAAAAAATATATTTCATCCATTTTTAGTTGAGAAGGACACCACTTTTCCGATTGTGCTATTTTTAGATGGTCATAAGTCACACCTGACATATGAGCTGAGTCTACTTTGTAATGATCTCAACATCGAAGTGATAGCTTTGTTACCTAATGCTACAAGGATCCTCCAACCATGCGATGTGGTGGTATTTGGACCTATTAAGATGGGATGGAAAAAAGCTGTCAGGGAATTTAACGAGAAAAATCCAGGAGAGCTCAGAAACAAACTCACTTTTGCTCCACTTCTAGAAAATGTTGTGAGAATATCGTGAAGTCAGAAACACTGGTTAATGGATTCCGTGCATGTGGCCTATTTCCTTTGAGTCCAGATGCAGTTGACTATAGTAAGTGTCTGGGGAAGGAAAACGATCCACAAAATACATTAGTAGATATGAAAGAAGATATGCAATCACCAAGTATGGATCAAAAATCGTTTGTAAATATAGTGGGAGAACAAATGATTGCAAAATTCAAATCATTTGATGGAACTGCAGAGCCCACAGATGGTACATATATGTGACGAATTTCGGACACTTTACAACATTTGAAGCTTTTTTGGAAAATCAGATTTTTCATCTGATAAAAAAACTGCGTTGCAGGAAAGAAGCAATGATCCAAAAACAATCCAAGTCTTAGAAAACATCGTTATAAAAGAAGGAAATATCATGAGTGTGACTCAATCGCCTTCAACACTGCCTTCTAGTAAGAGCATTTCCCGCTACTTAGATGTACCAGAAAAGCCTGCAAGAAAAAATAAGCGTCAAGTAGAGCGCGCATCATTTGCTGTGACATCAAGAAGGTACCAAGAAGACATTGAAAAGAAACGCGCTCTAAAGACACAAATGGAGCCGAGAAACAAGAAAGGAAAAAAAATGCTGCAGCTAAAGAAGCAAAAAAGAAGAAAGCTGCTGCAGGAAAATGTAGCATCTGTACGCTCAAAGCTACAAAAAGCTATCTGTTGTGCGACTCTTGCAACAGAAGGATGCATCGTCAGTGTGTTCCAAAAGGTCACCATAAGCACATGCCGCAATTAGGTGATGACGATTTATTCATTTGCCATGACTGTTATAAAGAGGAAAGTGAAGACGAAGCAGAACGATTTAGTGAATGTTCGGGATTGAATGACAGAGAATCCAGCAACAGCGATGAAGAGATGGAGGTGAACAAGCTATTCGAATGATACCAGACAAAAATCTAAGTACTAGTTTATGTTCAGTTTAACTGTAGGTCAGTTCTGATGTCTTCAAACCTTCAATAAAAAGCTATCTTTGATATGGAACAGTTTGCATTATGTCCAATAACTCAATGTTATGTGTCCAGTAACTGGATTTTTTGTCCATTGTTCTTTCAATTGTTAAAAAATCTGTTGTAGGAAAAATTAATCGCCACCTTGTATAAGTTAGGCCCGGTTTTTCAATCGCAAGTTAACTTTTTAGTTAGTTAACTATCGCCAGGAAGTTAACTTGTGGTTACTTGCAAATGCGTTTTTCAAGTATTTTGACAGCGTCAGTTAACTTACAGGAAGTTCAACATATATTTATGTCACAGCCCTGTATCTGCTGTTCTTAGATATCGTGTTTTATGCGTTTTGTGCGCTCGGCATCTATGTCCCGTGTCATACATGACAGTTCGATTGAATTAAAATTTTTTAAAACAGCCAAAATCGAAATCCGGAAATTTCATTAAAAACGAATAAAACATAAGACCTTCGTCAAGCAAGGTAAGTTTTTTCAAACATTGCTCGTACAAATGTTTAGTAGTAGACCCTATAGACGGCATTATAGAAATGGTGATAAAAAAGGTTGCAAATGCAATGTCTAATGAATCATACTAATACTCCTATAATCTACAATCCAAAAATAAAGGGGATACACAATACCTCTATTCTTGTTGCTAAAATTTCTCAAAAACTGTTTTCTAGCATGGAGAAAGAGATCAAAAAGAGAGCTCAAAATTTCTCGAACAATGAGGAAATGATGCTAATATCATTGGTGAGCGAAAATAAAGATGTAATAGAGAGCAAAACAAGTGGCACAGTTACGTGGAAACAGAAAAGTTCAGTATGTCAGAGCATCGAACAAGAATTGCAAGCCCTAACAGGGTGCCACCGAGAGGCAAAAACTCTACGAGATAAACATTTCAATTTAAAGAAAAAAACAAAAAGCAAATTTGCTACAAACAAAAGCAATATAATCAAGACAGGGGGGGGTTCATGCCAATTGCAAGCATTCGATCTGATTGATACACAATTACAAGAAATAATGGGACCACAGTTAGAAGGTTTGACAAACAATTATGATGATGACTGTAGTGACCAAGAAGAGGTGGTTACTGAACATGGTAAGTCTCATTGCTGTTTATTGAAGCATTTTTTTAGTTATTCATTTTTTAGTTCATGATGCAAATAACTGTGATGACTGTGAAGTGGTCTTCAATAATGGGAAATGGAGCTCTTATACTCCCCACCAACTGAAGAGGCCCAAAACTACAAAGCTAACATGTACAAAAACGGAACAAAATATAAAATATATTTCTGTTAACTATCTACTAATGGAAGAAAAGCTGAATTTTTTGAAACTACAAAAAGAAAAATTCATCGAAGAACACAATAAAAAAATGGAAATATATCCAAAAAAAAAAGGTTCAGCTGTTAGATTTACAGATCAATGCATTGGATAAGTAAAAAACAAAGGATTTAGTTTGTTAATTTCTGGAATACTTTCACTCATTTTTTTTGTATTTCGCTTTTTTGAGGATAATATGTTAGTTTAATAATAAACTGTTTTCAGAAAATCATGTTTATTTTCATTCTGTAGTTACAATAAATAGGGGATAATTCATATGTCAAGTAGATGAGAGCTATGGCGAAAACTTTAGGTATCCAAAAAGATCGCCTGAGTGGCCATTTTGAGGCTTGGGACATCTATTTTCAAATGCCGTGTGTGCCTTTTTTGGGCAACAACAATTTTGGCCACGACTCTTATCCACTTGCCATGGATTATCACAGATCTTATACTAAACAACTTTCATCCAGCATCGAGTCATTCACTGAGCATCAGTGAATGTATTGAATCGATTTACAAATTTGCAAAATAATTCTAATATTGTTGATTGCATTTTGTGGCAACCTAATATTTACAGGATCTGTCTTCACATTATCTACATGAACCATGTTAATAGCATTTTCCTGTTCAGGACTAATAGGGGGCATAGCTTCGTTATTAGGACAAGCAATATTATGTAGCACTGCTGTTCCTAGAGTAACTGCTGGGAAATCTTCTTTAAGCTTCTCTCTATAACATTGCGACTACGAATGATAGATTCATTGTATCTTTCTTTAGCAGGAGTTGTAGTTGTATTTAATGGTGTTATCATATGGCGTTTAATAGGATACCATTTGTCACCAGCCTACAAAGAGTTTCCAAAGAGACCTGATTCAAGTTGTCTGCAGAACTGAGAATTTCCGAAAATGTATGAATCTGCGTCAGAAACAGTTCAGTGAAAAAAACTGCTTTCGATTTCTGAAGAGCTCTGCATGGCTTCCTCCGGGAGAAACAATTTTTATATGCGCGCAGTCAATTGCAGCTATGCATCGAGGAAACCTAGCTATGTCATTTATAAAAGGATTGCTTTGCCCTGGCAAGAGCCTCAAGAGTGTCCGGCATTTTTATGTAATTACTTCTTTTACTCGTTAGTACTTTTAAGAATCTTCGGACTGTTTTGGATGCAGTTGATTTGGAAACCCCAGCAACAGTTAAAAAACTTCCATTGCGCACTGTTAACAACAGCTGCTGTTGGGGCGTTAAGCAGTTATCCCTGGAATGACAAAGTCATGTAAAAATATAGAAATAAACAATAATATTTACGTCTACCTGCTTGTAGGATATACTAAATCTTCATAGACTTCGTCCAGGAGAGTTTCTACAGTTCTTTTTGTAAGACGAAATCTTGCAAGGAAATCGAGGTCATCAAATTCATCAAAGTAATTCGACCGATGGCGGATTATTTTTGGCCTTCTCGCGTCTTCGTCACTCCTATATACGCATTCACGTCGTAATCCATAAACATGTTTGATATGGATTTGTTGTGATTTTTTGAATAAACGTCAAGGTTTATGTCAAAAAACGTCAGGTGTTGCTATTTAACTACAGCCTTTCTAGTTAACTCATAGATGGTCTTCTGGTTAAAGTTAACTTCCCTTTTACTATAAACATGGTATTGAAAAACCCTTTTTCATAAATAACTGTAAGTTAAGAACAAGGTCGTAGTTAACCTGCGATTGAAAAACCGGGCCTTTGAATATTAGATTTACATTCACGGCAAAGCAAAGTTAATCTTCAACCTTTACCATTGTTTTGAGTCTGAAAAAAATCTTAAGTGTCCAATAACTACCATGTTTACCCTATTGTAGATATGGCAAACCCTAACGGGCAACATTTTAAACACTTATTAAAATAAACAGTGATATTTTCGTGTGTTTTTGTTTTCTAACTGAGCAGATTAAGATAAAGATTTTTCTCATTTTCACGAAAACGAATGGACTGATTTTGAAAAATCAAACGTCAAAATAAAGGACTCCGACAGATCCTTCAAACAAGCTATCACTCGATACCCCTTGTCATTTAACATTTTTGAGGGAATGCCTCTGGCGGGCCGTGGTGGGATGTCTTCAAAAGAACAAGATTCGTATACTATGGGTACACATCATGCAATTAGAGATCGATATTAACTAGATTTGCTTCAATGTAATAAGCTGCTACACAAATCTATCAATTTTCTTTTGAAATTTTAATTCTACCATTTGCATGATCCTTTCACTGCATACAATTTGCAGGGAAATTGAAAGGGTAAACATATTCCCCGTGAACATATATCTAAACTTTATTTACCAAACAATTGTCGCACAGGCATATAAAACCGCTAAACATTTTCCTTCGGGGTTCGATATATATTGCAAGAGGAATCAAACCAGCGAACTCTGCAGAACTAGAAGGTATCGTATAATATAATGTCCTAGAATATAGCCCTGATTACAGTAGCATCTCTTTTCATAAAAACCGCCTCATAGAAACTATAGAAAATTATTATTAATCTTCATTTTTGTCAACCAGTAAGTGATTATTTGAAAAACATATATCCTTAAATTTTGTTTGTAGTTCTGGTAATAACGACACGATATAAAGTAACATTACTAACTTGTTCAGTATATTGCTTTGGCCTGTCACCTAAGGCTTCATTCGCATTCTATATTCCGGGTGTTCCAAATTCGACACTCACCATTGAAAACCCGGAAACTGTAAGAGATAGGAAGCCGCTTGCACATATAGGTAAATAACAAAATTTCACCTAGAATGTTTAAAAATTCAAAGTACTTCCCGAGAGAGACGGAAAAAATGCAATTATCCCAAAATTGTTAATTATTTTCTGACTTTATTTGTAGTAGTATTTCAAAATAGATTTCACACTAACATTGTCACTTTATCTGATCTACATAAAGGTATAATTAGAGTTTCAATATGACCTTATGTT